TGCAGAACAAACTACCAGAGAAGCGAAAAGACCCAGGGAGTTTCACTATCCCTTGCATGATTGGTAGTTTGCATATAGGGAAGTCCTTGGCGGATTCAGGCGCTAGCATAAATGTCATGCCATATAAACTGTTTAAAAAGCTAGGCCTAGGTGAACCTAGTGATACTAGGATGAGCATTCAACTTGCTGATAGATCCATTGTGCATCCTAGGGGCATTGCAGAGGACTTGATAGTCGTTGTAGGGCCATTCTCATATCCTGTCATTTTGTGATTTTGGACGTAAATGAGGATGTGGATGTCTCATTGATATTGGGTAGACCTTTTCTCGCCACCGCCAAGGCGCTCATTGATGTGAATGATGGGAAACTGATTTTGCGACCTGGGGGTGAACAAATCACCTTTTCTGTTTCTGATAATATGAAACACCCCCAGTTCCATGTAATCTAGACTACTGTGATGTTGTTGCTGATTTTGAGACCGCACTCGCCATCACGAGTGCGGGTACTGACGATTTCCTTGAGCGCTGTCTTTTGCTAGGGGAACAGGCATCACAGGATGTGCAGCTGGAGGAGCAGCTCGCGGAGCTAGACGAGGGCGCGATCGAGGGGCGAGAGATACCATTCAAGCCGATCCCTATCTCGCCCCGGATCGCTACATCATTGGAGGAGCCACCAAAGCTGGAGCTTAAGCCCCTCCCCTCTCACCTGGAGTATGCATTTCTCCGGGAGGGGAATAAGCTCCCGGTCATTATTAGCTCGAATCTGACACCCGAGCAGAAGAGCAGGTTGGTGGCTCTGCTGCAAAAGTATGCCCGGGCCATGGCATGGAAGATACCAGACATCAGAGTCATTAGCCCATCCTTCTGCTCCCACAGAATTCTGATGGAGGATGAGGTTAAGCCAGTCAGACAGCCACACCGGAGATTGTCTCCTAACTTGGAGGCAGTGGTCCAGGCAGAGATTGTGAGCTTATGGATGCAGGGATCATCTTTGCTATATCTGATAGCAAGTGGTTCAGCCCCACTCAGGTGGTCCCGAAGAAAGGCGGGATGACTGTGGTCCCGAATGAGAAGAAAGAGCTGATCCCGATGAGGACCGTGACCGGCTAGAGAGTCTGCATCGATTACCGACGCCTGAACGACGCCACCAGGAAAAATCATTTTCCCTTACCTTTCATTGATCAGACGCTGGAGAGGTTGGCTGGTCATGAGTTTTATTTCTCCCTGGATGGCATGTCTAGTTATTTCCAGATTCCTATTGCACCAGAGGATTAGGCGAAGATCACATTCACTTGCCCCTTCGGTACTTTTGCTTATCGGAGGATTCCATTCAGGCTGTGTAATGCACCGGCGACCTTCCAAAGATGCATGATGGCGATCTTTGACCGACTGGTCGGAGAGATCATGGAAGTCTTCATGGATGACTTCTCGGTTTATGGAGACTCCTTCACTCATTGTCTCCATAACCTGGAACTTGTTCTGGGGAGACTAATCTGGCACTCAGCTGGGAGAAGTGCCATTTTATGGTCTGTGAGGGGATTGTGCTCGGGCACAAGATCTCCAAGCAGGGGATTGAGGTGGATCGCGCGAAGATTGAGACAATCAATAAGCTACCTCCTCCCGTTTTTGTGAAGGGGATTCACAGCTTTCTGGGTCATGCAGGCTTCTACCTGCGCTTCATTAAAGATTTCTCGAAGATTGCCCTGCCTCTCACCAAGCTGCTGGAGAAGGATGCACCATTCCAGTTCACTCTTGAGTGCACAGCTGCATTTGAGACTCTGAAGGAGAAGCTTACCCATGCACCTATCATGGTGACTCCTGACTGGTCTCTTCCTTTTGAGCTGATGTGCGATGCGAGTGACTATGCAATCGGAGCAGTTCTGGGTCAGAGAGGCGAGAAGCACTTCCAGCCCATCTACTACGCGTCAAAGACCTTGAACGATGCACAGGAGAAATACACCACCACTGAGAAGGAGCTCCTCATTGTGGTGTATGCATTTGATAAGTTCCGACCCTATCTGGTGCTCTCCCATGTGGTGGTCTACACTGACCATTCGGCGATTCGCTACCTGATGAGCAAGGCTGATGCAAAGCCTAGGCTCATCCGCTGGATCATGCTTCTGCAAGAATTTGATATCGAAATCCGGGACAAGAAGGGAGCCGAGAATGTTGCTGCATATCATCTTTCACGGTTGGAAGCCCCTCCGGTGGACAACTTCGTGGAAGAGATCGATGACTCCTTCCCGGGTGAGAGATTGCTGGCGATGACACTGGTGGACAGCGTGGTCCCTTGGTATTCTGACTTATCTTGTGCGCAAGCAGCTAACTAAGGGGATGGCCACTCATGCAAAGCGCAAGTTCTTCTCCGACCTGAAGCATTACTTCTGGGAGGATCCTTACCTCTTCAGGATCGGAGCAGATGGCGTGATCCGGCGATGTGTCATGGAGCACGAGATGGGAGACATCCTGTCTCAATGCCACGAGGGACCTACTGGAGGTCACCATGGAGGAAACCGCAGGGTGCAGAAGGTGCTACAGTCGGGCTTCTATTGGACCTCGCTCTTCAAGGATGCGGATACCTTCGCACGACAGTGCGACCGCTGCCAAAGGTCAGGTAACATTTCTTCCCGGGATGAGATGCCCCAACATATTTCTGTCATTTGTGAAATTTTTGATGTTTAGGGTATCGATTTCATGGGCCCATTCCCTCCATCTTTTGGCAATCTGTACATATTGGTTGCAGTGGACTACGTCTCAAGGTGGGCAGAAGCTCAAGCCATGCCCACCAATGATGCAAGACGGGTCTGCTCATTTCTGAAGCAGCTGTTCTCTCGGTTCGGGACACCCCGCGCCATCATCAGTGATAGAGGAACCCATTTTCAAGGGAAATTCACTAAACTCCTCTCTCGCTATGGTGTTAAGCATCAAGTTTCGGTGGCTTACCATCCCCAGTCAAATGGGCAAGTCGAGCTGACGAACCGGGAGCTTAAACGAATAATTGAAAAGACGGTGGATCAGTCCCGCAAGAATTGGTCCACCAAGCTCGATGATGCTCTTTGGGCATATAGGAAGGCCTATAAGAACACAATTGGAACTTCTCCCTATAGGCTTGTCTACGGGAAGGCGGGTCATTTGCCAGTAGAGCTAGAGCACGAAGCCTTCTGGGCCATTAAGCTGCTAAACCTGGATTTGAGTGTTGCAGGTACTGAACGTAAGTTGCAGCTGTTGGAGTTGGAGGAATGGCGTTACCACGCCTACGAGAACACCCTGCTCTACAAAGAGCGAACCAAACGTCTCCACGACGCTCAGTTGAGGGGCCCGAAGGAGTTTCAGGTAGGTGATCGTGTTCTGCTCTTCAATGCACGCCTGAACCTCTTGCCGGGCAAGCTACGTTCGAGGTGGTCGGGACCCTTCACGGTCACCCAAGTTTTCCCACACGGTGCGGTGGAGATCAGCAATGCTCAAACTGAGCCATTCAAGGTGAATGGCCACTTCCTAAAGTTGCACTTGGGAGGTGCTGTCTAGCGCGCAGAGCTGCTGATCAAGCTCGAGGACCCTTAGTTCCTCTACTGGCGTCCAGCTAAAAGACTATAAAGAAGCGCTTGTGGGGAGGCGACTGATAACGATGTAATTGCACATGTTTGCGCCCCTAGTTCTTATCCGTTTGAGGGGCATATTCGTGTGTTTTGGCCTATTTTATGCTAGGTTGTGTTCCTTTGTCCCATTTCAGGTCCTAGCACATAAAGTGAAGCATAGGCGCAAGTTTCAAGTCAATCAGAGATCAATTGACGATTCGAGAGAGGAAACTCGGGCATGACCTGAAGAAGAATGGATTTCTACCTCACTTTATGGACAAAGAAGCGTGCAAGCTTGTTATGAAACGAAAGAGGACGAGACTACGAGCGTCTGGGATCAAACGGCGACTGATTCGGAGTCCGGACGAGGGAGAAACGAAGCATTAAACAGAGGCTGAGCAAGCTGCACGGGCAGACCAGCGTGGCCACGCACGGCCGTGCAAGTGACCAGTTTGGCCGTGCGAGATTGTGCGTGGGCACGCACGGGATTGTGCGTGGCCACGCACGGCCGTGCAACATACAATTCTGGCCGTGCGAGTTGGCTGAGGTTCAACTAATTGATACGCCGCGTTTTGAGGTGCACGGCCAGAATGGTGATGTGCACGGCCGTGCACCCTGGCCGTGCGAGTCGGGAATGGCTGTTTTTAACCCAAATTCGAGCCAAAGGAGAGGGAGAGCTGGGTTTTGGATCCCAAACACCCAAGGGACGAACCCTAGAGAGAGAGAGCGACTTGGAAACATTCTTGGAGCTATTTTGGAGGATTTCTTCGCCATTGGAGCTCGGGAATCAAGCTTGGAGATGGAGATTGAAGATCTAGATCAGATTTCTGCAGTCTCTCTCTTCTCTATGGAGTAACTTCCCTTCACTTAGGTTTTGAGGAACCCTAGTTCCATGAGTTAGGATCTTTCTTGTATGAAGTTTTGGATGCTATATTGTTTGATTATAATCGAATGATGCATGGTTATTGAGTCAATTGAAGTCTGATCAACTTTTCCTGATTTCTGCTGCAATCTGAGATAGATAGAATCTGATTAGGTTGCTAGAGTCTCATCATTCGGTAGTAGGAGATTGGCTATACGAGAGTTAGCCAGTTTACTGCTTTGTACTGGAATCCAATTCCAGTAGTGGAGTTCTGTGCTTATTGCTTCAGCTTTCTATCCCGGTGAAGACTAGTCGTCTGCCGGATAGTTAGACTGAGAGGGCTTGGTCGGCTTAAGAGATTCCAAGCTACTGTCGGGTCTTCCGCAGTTTAATCAACAGTAAATCAACCAAAATGAATTACAACTTGGACCTAATTGAGGAGCTAGGGGGAATCATACCTAAGTGAGTTCCCAAACTGTAATTAGTAGTTTTACTTAGTTTAGTTAGTAGAGTAGTTTAGTTAATCAATCCTTAATCTAGTTTGCTAGATAATGAACTGAAGCTGAGTAATAGTAACTCTAGAGACCCGTGGATTCGATATTTATTACTTGTGCCACTATACTGCAGTCCCTTTCATTGGTTACACTTGGCCATTGTTAGGTGTTGTGTTTTGGCGTGTCAAGTTTTTGGCGCCGTTGCCGGGGACTTTCTAGAGTATTAGGAAAGGCAGAAGTTTGTTACTTTAGCGTTTTTCTTTTCTTTTCCACCCTTGCTTTTCACTTGGGTGTTTTTGTTTTTGTTGGTGCAGATCTGAATCATGGATCCGCATGGCTTCTCCAACCAGTGGGGGTATCCACCACCATCCGAGTGGTATTACCCCGCGACTCCCTACAGCAATCAAGGAGGAGAAGACTATGGATTCGGGTTTCAGTACCAACCCCCATCCTACGAAGAACAATCAGACCCCTGGGTATTTCAAGAACAATCTCCTTATCAAGAAGAATTCCTCCATCAGCCAGATCCAAACTATCACTTGAGGCTTCTCGTGGAGCAGATTGCTCGAGTACCTGAGAGATCTTTTCCCGAGATGGATCCTCATATCCAGGCCATTGCCCAAACTGACTTCTCCTACCGTGAAACAGAGGAGACCCTCCTGAGCATAAAGAAGAGCCTCGAGGATCTTGAGAAAGCTTATGCACAACCTGCTCAAGATCACCCTTCTGCTATCATACTAGAAGAGGAGGAGGAAGACGAAGGCTACAAGGATATTGTGGAGCAGACAGAAGTTTTCACGAAAAGCTCTCGTGATGATCATGATCAGGAATTTCCTGCCGTAGCCGACCACACCTTCCCACATCCCAAACTGAGCTTTGAAGAGGCGGGCATGAGTGAGGAGATGCAAGAAAATCTCATGAAAGAAATTGCTTGGCAACTTGCTCTCCAATCCGTGCTAGAAGAAGAAGAGCGAGAAAGGGTGCAGAAAGAAGTTGTGGAGGATGAAGAAAGTGAAGCAGGAGGAGTTCTTGATCTTTTCCCAGGGGTGATACCACATGAAGAAGAAAGGGAGGTTGAAGAAGCAATTGGCGTCCAGGCTGAGGACGGAGTTAAGGTGGAAGAGGCCTGCACCGGCCATGAGTTACATGTGATATCTCCACCAAACTTCGAGGAGCTGCTTGGCAAGGACCCATTTGCAGTGTCTCTTTGCCAGACCAAGGCCACATCGACATCGGTCCCTCTTGGTGGACGCGATGGTGGCCAATCGATGCTGTCATATCTGGTTTGGGGCAATGAGACGAGAGAAGAGAAGAAGAGGTCTCGAGGGTGGAGACTTCATCTGCATCAAGTACATGAGCCTTCATCACCTGCCACACCACATGCTCATGACTTGCGACTCCACCTCATCGACGAGAACCTCAACTTCAAGGAGGTTCTAGCATGGACCGAAACTTAGGAGCCATCGTCCGGCTCACGACGTGAAAGAAGCGCTTGTTGGGAGGCAACCCAACCAGTCGGTTTGCATTTCTTTCTCTTTTTCTCCTCGGTTGAGTCAGTTTTGTTATTTGATTTTAGAGTCAATAACTCAACCTTTGTGAGATTTTGTGTGGTGTTTGTGTTCTGATTACTCTCTCTTCCTGGACTGCACTGCCTGACCCGTACATCATCATTCACCCTTGATCTGGTAACTTCGTTCTACCCTCCTTATCTTTCCTCCATTGAGGACAATGTCGTGCTTAAGTGTGGGGGGATGTTCAATTATGTATGCGGGTGAATGTTTGGCTGTTTGTGTGCTTGGAGCCTAGTCCACTGTCCAAATTTTGAAATTTGAGGGCTCCAAGTACGTGTTCCTTGCAATTGCCTGCTCAGTATGCTTTGAATTGACAGTCTTTACAGTAATATGCAACCTAGGGAGGTAGTGTAGCACTATGGAGGATGTTGATACATTTAAGAAGTCTCGTTTCTTCTTCATATTGTGTTGGTTGATTGAGTGAATTAGTGATCTTAGGACCCTTGAATTGTGTGGTGTTATGGATTTTCTACCTGTCATGGACTCTTGTATCATGTTTTGAAAATAACAGGTGCTCGAAAATGTGCTTCAAAATAAACGTCTCCCGTGCGAATAGGGCGAAAGTGTGTAAGGGGAGACGGGAATCCGTTCCCAATTTCCACCTACTACCTCCAGCCCCCTTACATGTCTTTCCCCCGCACGAGGCTCGAGACATCCGCTCCTGGCATGGCCGGTAAGAGCAGGTTGGGACCCTTGAAAAGAAAAAAAGAAAAGAAAAATAACAGAAAACAAGCAAAACAGAAAAAAGGGGTTCCAACCATCTTCAAAGAAAATCGAGCACCTTGAAAAATGTGAGTCCATGATCTTTTGTTTTTGAGAATCTCTTCATCCACAATTCATTTGTCCTCTGTTCACTGTTTGCCATGATGCCGACTGACCGAAGAAGCTATGAGATGACTTGTGCGTCGGTTGACCTCGTAAGCTGCTAAATGATCTAGGAAGTCCTCTACCTACGATCTAGGTTGTTTGTTGCTATAGAGGTCTGGAGAGTTGCATTGGTTTGAGTTAGGTTTGCTTGGGGACAAGCAAACGGTTAAGTGTGGGGGAGTTTGATAACGATGTAATTGCACATGTTTGCGCCCCTAGTTCTTATCCGTTTGAGGGGCATATTCGTGTGTTTTGGCCTATTTTATGCTAGGTTGTGTTCCTTTGTCCCATTTCAGGTCCTAGCACATAAAGTGAAGCATAGGCGCAAGTTTCAAGTCAATCAGAGATCAATTGACGATTCGAGAGAGGAAACTCGGGCATGACCTGAAGAAGAATGGATTTCTACCTCACTTTATGGACAAATAAGCGTGCAAGCTTGTTATGAAACGAAAGAGGACGAGACTACGAGCGTCTGGGATCAAACGGCGACTGATTCGGAGTCCGGACGAGGGAGAAACGAAGCATTAAACAGAGGCTGAGCAAGCTGCACGGGCAGACCAGCGTGGCCACGCACGGCCGTGCAAGTGACCAGTTTGGCCGTGCGAGATTGTGCGTGGGCACGCATGGGATTGTGCGTGGGCACGCATGGGATTGTGCGTGGCCACGCACGGCCGTGCAACATACAATTCTGGCCGTGCGAGTTGGCTGAGGTTCAACTAATTGATACGCCGCGTTTTGAGGTGCACGGCCAGAATGGTGATGTGCACGGCCGTGCACCCTGGCCGTGCGAGTCGGGAATGGCTGTTTTTAACCCAAATTCGAGCCAAAGGAGAGGGAGAGCTGGGTTTTGGATCCCAAACACCCAAGGGACGAACCCTAGAGAGAGAGAGCGACTTGGAAACATTCTTGGAGCTATTTTGGAGGATTTCTTCGCCATTGGAGCTCGGGAATCAAGCTTGGAGATGGAGATTGAAGATCTAGATCAGATTTCTGCAGTCTCTCTCTTCTCTATGGAGTAACTTCCCTTCACTTAGGTTTTGAGGAACCCTAGTTCCATGAGTTAGGATCTTTCTTGTATGAAGTTTTGGATGCTATATTGTTTGATTATAATCGAATGATGCATGGTTATTGAGTCAATTGAAGTCTGATCAACTTTTCCTGATTTCTGCTGCAATCTGAGATAGATAGAATCTGATTAGGTTGCTAGAGTCTCATCATTCGGTAGTAGGAGATTGGCTATACGAGAGTTAGCCAGTTTACTGCTTTGTACTGGAATCCAATTCCAGTAGTGGAGTTCTGTGCTTATTGCATCAGCTTTCTATCCCGGTGAAGACTAGTCGTCTGCCGGATAGTTAGACTGAGAGGGCTTGGTCGGCTTAAGAGATTCCAAGCTACTGTCGGGTCTTCCGCAGTTTAATCAACAGTAAATCAACCAAAATGAATTACAACTTGGACCTAATTGAGGAGCTAGGGGGAATCATACCTAAGTGAGTTCCCAAACTGTAATTAGTAGTTTTACTTAGTTTAGTTAGTAGAGTAGTTTAGTTAATCAATCCTTAATCTAGTTTGCTAGATAATGAACTGAAGCTGAGTAATAGTAACTCTAGAGACCCGTGGATTCGATATTTATTACTTGTGCCACTATACTGCAGTCCCTTTCATTGGTTACAGTTGGCCATTGTTAGGTGTTGTGTTTTGGCGTGTCAGCGACCCAACCTAGGTTTGCATTTTCTTACCTTTTTCCTTTTAATTTTTTGTGTTTTTGAGTCTTGAGGTGTTGTCCAAGAGTCGTATGTCGATTTTGAGTGAAAACAGGTCAAATTCGTGGTTTTGGCAGCCCACACGGCTAGCCCTAAAACCCACAAGGCCGTGTGGAAATGGGTTTTGGCCGTGTGGAGGCCCTGGACAGTTCACACGGGCAGGAGGGGTCCCTCACACGGCCGTGTGGTTTTGGCCTTCGGCAATTTTCACACGGCCAGAAATGCTTTGTCACACGGCCATGTGAAAATCCTCGGCCAGGCCGTGTCGGCCCACACGGGCGCTATTGCACCTCACACGGCCGTGTGAGAGTGCCCGTGTGGTTGAGCCAGCACCTATATATTTGGCCGACACGGCCGCGTGGTCAGAAAACCCACTTCCCCTAGCCGGAATTCTCTCCCCCTCGCGGACAACCGCGATTTTCAAATTTTTTGGGCAATTTTCGGCCATTTTTGGTCGGTTTTTCACCAAATCACCACCGAACCCAATCTTCCCTCATCCTTTTCGGCATTTACCTCGAGTTTGGGGCGATTTGGGCCGAATTTTGGTCACCGGAGGCGTAGTCAGGCGAGACTCCGGCGAGGCTCCGACGGCATTTCCGGGCAGTTTTTGGGATTTTCGTTGCTTCCATTGCCTTCCCCTCATCATCCCCTACACCTCTACTTGTATCTCCAGGTTTGATTTTGCCCTTTACCTTGTGAATTGTGGAGAATTGGCTGTTAGGGTGTATGTTTAGAGAACAACTTTGCATTGTGTGAATTGTGTGCAATTGATTGAGGGGAAGGCTTGGTTTTTGTGTGAATGATGTTGGGCAATGTCACCCATGCTTGATTGAGCCCTTGTGTGCTATGAATTTGTCCATTTTATGCTTAACTTTATAATGCACACAAGGTGTTGATGAAATGCCTGTTTTTCATACCATTTTGTGGGAGCCAGTTGGGGCCCTTAATGATGTGCTTTGAGGGTGTATTTGCTATGGATGTGAACCTTAAGTTGCCTACTTCATCATGGTTGTGCACCCCCACCCAGATTATGCTTGTTTGATCGAGTTATTGACCCCCGAACTATGGATGAAACCATGGTTCGGCTGTTTTCTGTTCTCAAATGTGGGTGTGTGATTAACCTTTTCTATGGCTCTTTTGGCTCCACTTTGGGTTGTTCTTTTGCAGGACCATGACGAAACCCGACCTCAAGCACCCGTTTATCAGGGATTTGAAGAGGGCCCCCCACCAGGATCGGTTCAAGCGCGTCCTGGCCTGCTCGTTTGGGCAGCATCATTGAGAAGCTGAACTGCTACGACCACTTCTCCGCCATTGTCACCAACCTCCCTTGGCGCCGTTTGCTGTCCATTTGCGAGAAAGTTTACCACGAGCTCGTGCTGGAGTTCTATACGACCTTCAAGCATGAGGAAACAGAGGACTGGGCAGACGATGAAGCCGTCAAGTTCCGGCTCGACGGTGCGCCCCGCTCCATGAGCTACCACGACTTGGAGACCGCCCTCGACCTCGGCCTGGACGATGATAGGGAATACGTCACCGAGCTCAACGATCCGGTGGGGTGAACTTCAAGACACTGTGCACCCGCCTCGCTCAGCCCGGCCAACGTCCCTTCGTTGCCGGGCGGACGAAGGTCAGCACCCTGCAGCTCGATAACCGCATTCTCCACCACTTGCTGGCGAAGTCCTACACTCCAGCCGGGGAGAGTGCCAACACCATCACTAGGAGAGCGCTGTATTTCATCCAGTCCATGCGCCAGGCGGACCATCTTCTCCACCAGGGTTCTGTGGTAGCCAGAACCTTTGCCAAGAGTGCTTCAGAACTAAAGAGCCTCCACTACGCTCCCCTTATCACCCGCCTGGCCACCTACTTCCAAATTTCCCTGCAGGGGTGCACAAAGCAGGGGGCACTAGTGCTTTCGGCGAGGACACGATCAAGAGTATGCACCTGCTGCAAGTGGATCGAGGCGTCAAGTGGATCGAGGGGTTTCCTCAACCTCAGATCCTAGCAGCGAACCAACCAGATGCTCCTGAGGATGAGGTTGATGAGGATGTCCACCCCGAGGATGTGAATGATGTTGATGCCCCCCGCCCGACCACCTTCGAGTACGGGGGTAGCAGTTCCACCTTTCCATCGCAGGACTACTTCGCCCACTAGTTCCAGCAGCTAAGCATCCAGAATCAGCAGATCATCGACCATCAGCTCCAGTTCCAGCAGCAGTACTCGGCTCACCAGGTCGAGTATCAGACCCGGATGGCTGCATATAATGAGCGCCTGGACCGCATGGAGACCCAGCAGGGGGTGACTCTGGCTCACATCGAGTGGGAAAAGGCCCGCTCTCGGCGTATGCAGGAGGTCCAGCAACACCTGCTCCAGCTGATACCGGGCGAGCAGCCAGTCTGGAGGACTCCTTGGGAGGACTTCCACTACCAGCCCCGGCCGCCGGCGATGACGCCTTCATGGATGACATCGACTTCGACAACCTTGGCGACGAGTAGGCTATACTCGTCGCCCCTCAGAGTGTATTTTTATTCTGGACTTTTTATGTTTGCTCCATGTGTTTGAGGAGCTTGAACTGAGTATGTCGTTTGTTTTTGTACTTTTGGTTTTCTTTTGTGGATTGTCTTTTGTGAGGAGCTTGAACTCTGATCCCTAACGCACAGTGTGCTTGTGTCTTCTTTGTATTTCCTTCGTGCAGAACTGTCTGTTCGTTTAATATGTTCCCCGCTGACTGGTCCACTTCCAGTCTCCCGCAGTATTTCAATCCGGTAACATCGTTCCCCTTATCTCTCCCTATGCTCCATTGAGGGCAATGTCGTGCTTAAGTGTGGGGGGGGGGGGTGCTTTATATCGGTTGGAATCTATATACGTGTGCTTGGAGCCTAGTCCGTTGTCCAAATCTCGAGATTTGAGGGCCCCAAGTACGGTTGTTTGATCATATTGGCACTGTGTTTTGATTGGTGAATTGAATGGTTTTTGGATTAATGCATGACAACTGGAGTGTGACTAGGACAACCTCTAATGATGACTGAGACGTGCAGTAGAGTTGTGTAGGGGTTCAGTTTTTCAACTATTTGCTTACCAAGTGTGACTTGGATGGATCACTTTTTCTTGATAGTCGTTTATGCATCTAGTTCAGGGGATCCGAATGGGAGATAGAGCATATAGGTAGCCATGTAAGATTTGAGCCTGCTCGTTTCTTTCTTGTGTGATAGTTCCCTCTTCCATGATTTGTAGCATTCACGTTGTCATTAGCTAAGATGATGGAGGCATAGGATTAGCCCACAACCAAATTGACTGTCCTGGTGTGTCATATCCCCTAGTCAGCCCCTTTGAGCCGTGTGTTATCCTTTCTTTCGGTCTACAATGAAAAATCACCCTTTTGCATCTCTTAGAAGGTTCCACAGAGTGGTTTTTGCATCTCTGCTATTTCTGCTAAATATAATGTGAGAGTTGGAGGTAGTTCTTAAAAAGTTGGGCATGAGTTTGAAAAATGTGAATAGGTGTTGATTCTCTCAAGAAAAAAAAAAGAATGAATGAAAGCAAAAGAGAGCCACCACCAAAAATCTGAATAGTGCACATTAAGTAGTGTTTCTTAGCAGTCTGGCTGGGAAATACTAACATTTATGTGACCTTCTTCGCTCTTGTTCTCTAAAGAATTTGAGTAAGGCAGAATGGCATAAGGAAAGTAAGTGGTTTGATTGACTGTGAGTTTGTTGGGTTTGGAAATGTGGAACCTTGTGCTATGAATACTTCCACCACCTAAAAGACCTTTTCCCCATGTCCTAGACCCTAGCCAGTCATTTGAACCTGTGTCTAAGACCTCCGGATTAGTTAGTGATGACACCCATTTATGTAAGCTCTAACACTTAGAGGCTGTCGTCATGGTGAAGAGATGTTAGGGATTGAGAGAATAAGCATGCGCGTTTTTCGCATCAAATTGTCCTGACCCCACTGGTCGAGAGTGAACGATTCATTTTCTCATATTCTCTATACTCTTGTACCCCGGTGAGGACCTAGATTGCTCGGTCTCTATTCTGATATCTTGAGTTTTGTGCATGAGGTGACTGTCTTGAGTAAGTGGTTGAGTCAAGTCTATGTTGGTTGATGAACAAAAGGGAGACTCCTTCTTTACTCGATTTTGCTGCACTCAAATGTCCTCTGTGGTGGTTGTCCAGGTTGCTATTGAAGTTGTTCATGTGTTGATGTTTGAAAGCCAGTATGATTCACGTGTTCTGTGCCTATATGATTTGTCCCCAATGTTGGTATGATTGAAATATGTGAGCTTACCTTGTGTCTGACTTGGTTTGCTTGGGGACAAGCAAACGGTTAAGTGTGGGGGACTTTGATAGACCGTTAATTACACATGTTTTTACCCCTATTCTTGAGCCGTTTGAGATGTTGATTCTCGTGTTTTAGGCCGATTTCACGCTAGGTTGTTCTTATTTGTGATATTTCAGGTCCTAGTACGTGAATGAATGTTTGTGAGCGATTTCGGGGTCGATTGGACGAAGATCGGACGTGGGGCGAGATGCTCAGGAAGCCACACGGGCACTCCTAAAACCCACATGGCCGTATAAGGAACCCATGTGGCCGTGTGGGATTTACCGAGCCTTCACACAGGCATCTTGGATATTCCACACGGCCGTGTGTCCCTAGCCGTGTAGGTAGCCTGAAGTCCACTTAATCCAAACTCCGCGTTTTGACACTCACACGGGCATCTAGGTAAGCCACACGGCCGTGTGGCCTGCCCGTGTGAGTCGGGAATTCTGGATTCTAACCCAATTTCGAGCCACAAGTGAGGGAATCGACTTTTCAGAGCAAAAACAGAGCCCTAGAGAGAGAAAGTGCAAAGAACATATCCTAGAAGTGATTTTGGAGCTGGGTTTCGTCAATCGAGCTTGGAGATCATCATAGGAGTGAAGATCATCATCCTAGAGCAGATTCTTCCCATTGTTATGAGTATGACTGCTTTGTATTCTGTTTTCCTCTCTCTCTTTATGGAGTAGACTCTTCTTTCACTTGGGTATGAAGAACTCTAGTTCCATGTGTTCGGAATCATGATTATAATGACTTGGGATTGCTATACTGTTTGGTTTTAATCGAATGGTGCATGATTCATTTAATTAATTGAAGTCTGATCAGCTTTTCTGGATTTTTGCTGCAACCTGAGATAGATAGAATCTGATTAGGTTGTTAGAGCTTCATCATTCGGTAGTAGTAGATTGGCTATACGAGAGTTAGTCAGTCTACTGTTTTGTACTGGAATCCAATTCCAGTAGTGGATTTCTGTGCTTATTGCTTCAGCTTTCTATCCCAGTGAAGACTAGTCGTCTACCGGGTAGTTTGACTGAGAGGGCTTGGTCAGCTTAAGAGATTCCAAGCTACTGTCGGATCTTCCGCAGTTTAATCAACAGTAAATCAACCCAGGGTAATTACAACTGAGACCTAACTAAGGAACTAGGGGGACTCATTCCCGAGTGACTCTTCCTTTGCTTAGAAAAAACGAATCAATTCCTGCTTTCTTACTGCTTTTAGTTATAATCACAATCAATCGACTTAGTTGGCTTGATAATAGATATTCACGGATTAGGCAGTAGATCTAGACCCCGGGTTGATAATTAGACTTGCCACCTAATTAGACTCTAAGTCCATGCATACTAATAATCTAAATAGCCATACTAACCCATTAACATGCTAAATCAAAGACTAATTAACCCATTAACACCTAACACTAACTACTCTCAATCTACCAACACCACCCATCAAGCTCAGAGTAGTCCATGATTCCATCATGTAACCAAGAACCTGCAATTAAAACCAGAAAGTGAGCATATTCGAATTCTGTTCACTACAACCATGAACATCCCGTATCTTAAATCTAAGAATAAATCACAACTCTCATAAATCTTTTTCTTAATTTCGTCCATCCGAACTAATACCACTGTAAATCGGGATGGCAACGGGGCGGATCGGGGGCGGGTACAAGCCTCCCGATCCCTGCCCATCAACCTCTGAGGTTTTTCCCATCCTCGTCCCAGGCGACTAAACGTGGGAAGCCTGACTTCCGTCTCGTCCTCCGTCGGTTCGGGCAACCCACGGATCCCCACGGCCGGCTTCGCTATTGAGAGGAAGTTGGGGCGGACCTTGTGAAATATTGTCGTCGGCGACGTAACTTAGCTCACCCCGTCGCCCCCGAATACATTGGTCCTCTTGTCGTCCTCGTGTCGCTGAGTTTGGTGAAGAGCAAGTAGGTGGCGTAGCAACTTTCACGTCCAAGTCGAGGGCCGACGCTCGCTATATTGAGGAGAAGAAGGAACGGATTTCCCGTTGGCGGTGGAATGGGGCGATGGGTGATTAGGGATTTCGGAGGACAGTGATGGTTGGTGCTTTCTGAGTGTTAAAGGGAAGTTGGCTGGGAGTTTTTTTAGATAGGTTTAAGTTACTGGAATGAAAACAACATCATCTTGGGGACGGGCGGGGTTGGTGCAGATACTACGAGATCCATCCCCACCCGTTGCCCACTACTATCGGTTTCGGGCATACCCGAATCCGCCCATTACCCATGATAGGCGGTATTTTTGGCCCCCGTCTGTGCAGGTTTCAGATGGGTACCCGATGGTTCGGGCAAGGTTGCCATCCCTAACTGTAAAAATAAAACAGGAAATCAAAACCAATCCATTAGAAAATCACCACCACTTCAAAAAAAATACCAATACCATTATAAAAGAAAAAAACAAGAAATCAATACCAAAATATAAAAACACTATCACTACCACAACGTATATCATTTATTAAACAATACAATTAGATATTTAACTAATACCAATACATGAATATCAACACCAATCAAGATTGTTAAACCCCTATCGAACTCCCGATTGGACCCGGTCCGACCCGGGTCGAGTTTCGAAACGGACTCCAAAAAGCCCCCGGTCTGACCCCTAAAGAGGGAGAAGAAGACAGGGGGAAGAGAGGGAGAGAAACGAAGGAAGGAAGATGGTGAGTGGGTAATGGAGGTTAGGTAGATTTATTTTGTGAAAACAAGTTTTTAATAGATATATGTAAGATAAATTTTATTTCAGTCTTTAAATCTTTAATTACTATCTTATTTGTATATATATTCAAAAAACGTCTAAAACAGCTAAAATTGGTCGGATCCCGATCAGACCATTAAACCTCAAACCCCTTGCTTGACCGACTCAATGACTTAAACTAGTTTGACAACCTTGATACCAATATAATAACATCAATACTAAAACAACAATATCGTTACATGGTTATCAATACCAATGCGAAAAAATAATACATCTAATGGAAAAACCAATACCAATACGAAAAAATACGTACATACCATTACGTAAAATCCATATATGGAATCCGATGAAAATCATCGGCGACAGTTAGTCGCCGAAGACAGAGAGGGGGGAGGGAAGTGGAGTGGAGTGGAGTGGAGAGGAAGGGTGGCCGCTAGCGGCAGGAAAGGAACCACCACCAGTGGCGGTACAAGGAGAGAGAGGCGTGCGGAAGAGAGAGATGGAGATTCGGGGGCCGGCGGGTGTGGAGACGGGGAAGAAATCGCCGACTGATAGAGCTGTTGACTGCGATGCAGAATGAGGTTGCAGTAAGAGTTTGAGTATGATAAATAGAAATTCACTTCTTAAAGGATAAAAATTAGATGTGGTATATTTTCTTTTCCAAAATTATTCTTAATCTAATATTCACTTTTAAGTTAAAAATATGATGAAATGGAGATAATGAAGGGTTATTTTTTTGTAGCCACCGTGATTACTCAAAATCGAGTAACCAAGCTAACACATTGCCGCTGTTTGGGGTGATAATTGGTTGGTGGTTATCCAGTTAAACCAACCACTATCCAAAATTGGCTGTTATTCACTAAAACCAACAACCAAAAAATGTTGTCGGTGTCGGTTAGGGATTTTAGTCGAATTTGATAACCTGATACCATCGGTGGTTGGCAGAAAATAACTCAGTCCACCATAAATAACCGCCTGAGGAGAACCTCATCGCCACTGCCCCTTTGACCTTGCCCGCCACCACCACTAGATCTTTGCTCTGCCCCCGCCCCCATCAAGATGCTTCTCGGCCCTCAACCATACCTCACCGCCCAACCTCGTCCTTCCAATCTAGACCTCGCCGTCTCAATCTCCCGAATCCCGACCTCAATGCCCCAACTAGACACGCACCACCACCAAAGAATCTTTCACTCAAATCGCTCAGTTGGAGTTTTCGCTTCCGCCGAGAAGAAAGCGGCGACGGTAGATATCCATCAAACAAATGAAAAGAAGGAGAAGAGGGTAGCTACTAGTGAAGATAGATCATCGGTCGCCATCGGCGTCCCTGTCTTCTTCAGCTTCGGAGGTAGACGATAAATAGAAAGATTCAAAGGGTTGAAGCGGTCTCGATCGTCGTCCCCGTTCCGCGTTACAGATCTGCGTGACTCAAGATTCTGGCAGCTCTTTCTCTTCCTCCTCTGTCAACCACTCAAGAGTCACCGCTCACATGCTCTTCTTCCCCTTCCTCGGTCACCATTGCCCGACATGTATATGGTCAGAGAGAGAGAGAGATTTGGGGAAGATGTAAAAGGAACGGGTCCCCGGTTCCACTTTTTTATTCAATAATGTCAGCTCACGATATGCCGACTAACTGCACAGATTCCATCGGTTTCGGTGTCGGATAATCGACAATGGTAAACTGTGTCGGGGTTGGTCGGGCGTTTGGGCACATAATCGATGTCGGCTAACAGACCCATCGATTTGGTTAAACTGTAACCGAACCGACTATCACCCCCTAGCCGATGTTGATATATTTTTTAATTAGCTACGTTGAATTGAATTACTTATGATTAACATAGTTGTTATCCATTATTCGTCATCATCATCAGCATAACAATACTATATGGAGGTTCCTAGGCGGAACCCACTTAAACTCCCTTTTCCTGCTCTGTGCGCAATCCACGGAGGGATGTTTGGGTAAATGTATATGTGCACTATTGGATTTACTTGGGCTTATATATTAAAGCATCACTACAAAAAGCACGCTTCCTTATTTCCAGTTCCACGGACAATACGGAATCATTATTTGTATTGTATTGTTTGATAGGGTGATACCTATATATATATGTTTGCATTGGTATCAAATAATAATTATGATGCTTGAATTATTGTTTATTCGTGAATGAAAAATGCTTGGAGGTGGAGATTGAAGCGACAATGGCTTCCCATTTTCATTTTTGAAGAAAAGATAATGTCAATTGCAAGGCTTTAGCGATGGTGGTGGTGTGGGGTATTAATTTTATTTTTATTGTTAATTTTTTTTCCATAAATTATTAGGTATAATTTTGTAATTTCATATTGTTGATACCATGTTTGGGATTGATCGGGAATCGATTGGAGTTCATCCGAGCAGTATTGGGAAGAATAGGAGCAAGAAGGGAAAAAAGGCACTGGCCACGGCCACAGGTCACTGCCCTTGACCAGGCAGTGACGACGATCGCGGCCTGTGATCATGGTCGCGATCAGTGGCCACGATCTCCAGCAGGCAACCAAGAAAAAGGCAGAGAGTTTTCTCACCCGGATCGCGGTCATGGTGCGTTTTGGCGACAATAAAGATCGCGTCCGGGGCACAAAAGATCTCGGTCGTGATCTCGTGAAGGAGGCCGCGATCTCGGAACTTAAAGACGGGATAAAACACGTCATTTTGGACGATTCGGAGACATTCCAACTGGTCACGCCCTTGTCATGATCGTGACCATCGGGTCACGCCCTTGGAGGACATGACCGCCATCAGCTTTCTATAAATACCCCTCTTTGCTGCACTTTTCAAAGGAGAGCTGCCTTCGGGTGAGAAAATTAGGGTTTTGGAGTGCTTTAGAGAGAGAAACACCTTGGGTGAGCTTCATTGGATATCCATTCAACCCAAAGAGCAAGGAGAAGGTGCAAGCAAGGAGAAGAAGGTTGATTCCATCATTCCCCTCTTCTAGTTTGTATTTTCTTCTTCTCTCTAATGACGTGAATCTCTAGTGCTTGTTTAGGATATATGGACCCTAGTTATAGGTTGTGAATGAATGAATGTGTTTGTCTAGTTGATTTTAATGCCACTCTTTCCTAAATGATGACGCTTGGGTAAGTCGCACTAATCTTCCCTCTTAGCCTACTTTATGCTACCGCGTTGGGTATGGAGTTCTAAGGTTAGACGGGTATGCGCCATCTAGCGAGTTTAGGTTAGATGTGTGAATGAGGGCTTATAGTGGTCAAGGCGACCGAACTCCTGCTATAGGTAGCCTTCCTAGATGGAACCCAGGATGATACCTCGGTGTGGATGGTGGATAGTGTCCATTGAAATGAGCCATAAACTTAATGCCCCAGATATGATAGCCTAGATCGAGGTAACTAGAACATGGATTTAGGGGAGGCATACTCGGAGGCGTGTGGATAACCACGAAAGCCCACGGAAAAGAGCTCATTCACCACATTCGATTAACTCTACTTTACAACCTTAGCTAGGTGGATTTGAGCCTATGAAACCATCTTACCTCTAAGCGTCCTTCCAACCACTTGGTTGGTTGTTTATTTTACCTTAGGAGTAGGTTAATTTAGTCAAATACCCCTCACCAAACTTCCATCCCGATTAGATAGTGGCTCGGAGCGAAGTAATAATACACTTAGTGATCCCTTGGAATACGACCGAAACATTTTACTACAACTCTAGCTAGGTTATACTTGGTTTAGTTAGAATTGAATAGAGAGTGTACTTTGAATTTATAAATTTAAAACTCGATCGCGCACCGGAGCACGATCATTTAGACACTATATAAAGTTAATAGATGTATCTTACCATAATTTTTTTATTTATTTGATTCAAAAAAATCATTTAGATATGTAAATATAATTAGTTTCTTACCGTTACGAAGCGCAGGCAAAAAAAAAACTATTGTAATAACTCATTGATTAAAACTGAAACCAAATCATTGATCTAAAGTTCTAAACTGAAAGTTTGGATAGTAGGAAGGAATGACCCATGATATCTAAAAAACATAATAGGGGGTTCCCAAAAAAGGTTTCTCAAATTCAAATTTCTCCTTCCCTGACGCATCCATGTCAGCACAGCCATTACCCAATCAAATTATTTCAACAAGAAAATTCAACCAACAAAAATATCTATCCCTCGGTGAATGCTTCTTACATTTTTTGATTTTTTTTTCCTTTAGCAATTTTGGTTTACTTTTACGTTTTTTCCTTTACATGTGTTATCCTTAAATAAAATATTTATACCTTTTAGATATAATTATATTCCTTACCGTCTAAAAATATTACTACAATATATTATATATTTAAACTATATATAAATTTGTCATTGTGTTTATAATTAAAAAAATTATATTTCATATGCACTTGCAAGTAGTGTATATTGCATAGCACAATAATTTGATTATGATGGGTGAGGTTCAGTCCCAATATTTTAAACATTCGTCATTTGAAATTTTGAAAATTATGGAATGACATGTATTGTTTAGATATTTATTTTTAGTGTTTCATGTACCGAGATTTCATGAACCACCATTGGAAAATAAAATGATTTTAAAAACTTTACTTCCAATTGGATAAATGAACTATTATGAGTTTGATGATAAAAAAAATTGAAAAATTATAACATGATCATGTTATACATTTAGCCAAAAGTTAATATATCTTAATTAAGAGTGGTATGTTTTCACTTATAAATTAACTTATATCGTATCAATATTGTAGGTGTCCCTGGAGGGACTAAATTAGCTACGTATATTTACGAGTCATACATTCGGGTCATACACAAAGAATAACAAATTTTTAATAATATATGAAAAATGATTCAAGTATGAGAACAAATTATTTGATATAAATGTAGTGTATGCACGAGATTAACGAGAGGTTCAAGAATATGAATAAAATTTTTCTAAATTAATTTAATGTTTAAATGAAACTCACTTAATGTTTAAATGAAACTCACCTGCCAATGGCCAGTATCAAAGCTAGTTTTATTTACATATGTTATCAAAGTTTTTACACCAATTTGTAAAGAACCGAAGATAAACTTTGCCGGTAGTGATGATGATCCTCACATAATGGTACTAAATTCCAATCCCAAACAAAGACCTAACCAAACCGAAACGATGAATTAAGCAACAGTAACTTCAATCCAGGCGCCATTAACATACATAGTTCCCTGCAAACCAGATGGCGTCGAATTGCGGATTCTCGTACAGCCTTAGCACAGTCCAGCGGCTGTATCACATCAATCCTTCTTGCAATGTCTATCTGTCTATGGCATTTGCTATTGCTATCAGTATCTCTTGATATTCTTCTAAGCTGAAATACAAAATTTTCAATTTCTACGAAATGTATAATTAATCGGTCTTATTAGAAACCCTTCGGATCATAGATAACTAGCTTGGCAGGTAGCACCCAAAAGACCAACATGCCCTCCTCTCTCCACTTTTATTATAAAAAAATCTTAGGATCCATGTAGCTTCGTCATTCCCAAGAGAGAGAAGAGAGAAGGGGCATTGTAGCAGCGATCAGCAGCAGGTATGGGATTCTGGAGGAAGTTGGGGTTCGATTACTTCAAGATCTTCGTCATCGCCGGCGTGTACTACTTAGCTCGCGAGAGCTGTTCGGAGCTCTCTTTGACCCTGCGCGTTATAGTAAGACCTTAATTATCCCTAACTATACGCTCTCTGTTAATTTTTTGTGTTTCCTCCGGTCACCGATTCATATTTCCCGGCCGGTCACCGAGGATGTACTTTTAATCTTCTACTCCTCCGTTTAATTCAGGTCCTCACTCTCTGTCTCCAAATCACTGTCATATTCTTGGGCCAGTTGGAGAAGGCGGTGCTGCCTAATCCCAGTGAATGCACTTGCTCCGAACCAGCTGCTGCTACTACGAAGAACTAATTACGAGTCGTCCCGATCAGTAACTTTGTGTCCCGTCTCTTCTATCGTACGTAGTATCCAGAAACTAGCTAGTGATTAGTATGTAACAGGTAGTCTTCTTTAGTAAGAAGGTCTCTGTTCCGAGGCATTTTAGTGTGCTTTATAGTATTGGTGCTATAAAACATTTACAGCCATTAGATCATGTTCAACCTTTATCAACCATTAGATTTTATTTAAATTATTAATATATTATTTTATTTGTGTGTGGACAACCGTTGCAACCGGTTGCTTGAAATTATTTGGGTTCACACCTCTTCTCACGGCCGAAACCATTCTTCTCACCTCTTCTCACCGCCGAAACCATTCTTCCTTCTATCCTCTTCCTTCGATCCTCTCCACGCAGCTAGCGAGCAGTGAAGACGGCGAGCAGTGGGTGACGACGAGTGAAGACGGCGAGCAGTGGGTGACGACGAGTAGAAGAAGCTTGACGATTGCAGCATCTCTTTGACTGCGGCGAGCCGGATTCCGACAACGACAGTGAAGGCGGCGAGCAAGGGACGACGAGAGCGAGCATCTCTTCGTCGATTGCAAACGTTTGAGCTCGTCGAGAGCCTGCATCAAGGGGTAATTGCGACGGCGACGCTGTGAGAAGAAAGAGATTTGGGGTTTCAAGTTTCCTCTTCCGCGAGTGTGGACTATGCTCTTCCGCGGTGGGTCTCTTTGACGATATTGAAGTGGTTGAGCATCGGCGACGGGAACGGTGAGATTGGGTTTCGCGGCGGGTCTCTGCTGATTGTGCTCTTTCGCGGTGGGTCTCTTTGTCAATAGTGAAGGGGTTGATTGGAACAAGATTCAGAGCTGCTTGATTGAGGGTAAAGTCTGCTCCAAGTTCAACGAGACTTGCCTTTCCGATACCGTTGAGCAGTTCTACACCGAGCGATTGTCCGCTCTTCAGGTAAAAAAAGACGATTCACTTTCTGGGTTTTGAAAATTCGTTTGGTGGTTTTTGCTATTCTTCTTCTCTTTTCTGAACTTTTTGAGCGTGGCTTTTGGATTTCTGTGGTGGGTTAGGGATTTTATTGTTTTTAGTTGGGGAAAAGCGATGGGCAAACTATGGATTTTTTTCCTCGGGAACTTGTGAATTTGTTATTGTGCTGAATTTAGAGATCCTTGATGATATTGAGCAGCAATTAGGATCAAATAGATATTGGAAACTTTGTAGACTCTGAACAATAGAATTGCTAGCCATCTAAATGTTGGATCTTGGTCAATTTTCTGGGGATTCTAGTTCGAAAGTGCTCCACGGAAAGTTCATTTAGCTAGTGAAATCCCAGGTGAAGTGTTGAGTCTTGGATTCGCGGATAATGGAAGATGAACTAGGAAAAAAGCTAGCCTGAATTACTTAATGCCCCATCCGTAGTACGTAATGGTTAATACAGTAGGAATCCTTTCTTTCTTCTAGGATGCTTTTGTAATGCCACAAGGAGCTGCAGTATTAGCATCACCTTAATCGTAACCTGTCTATGATTTTTGCTGTTTACGTGAGTTCACTTTCACTTTTTGTATTATGTGTAGGGACTTTGATCTGGTAACTCTTTCAGATACTACACGTTGGATTCAGAATTCAATTTCTCTTGTGATAGAGCTGCAATCTTAGTCTTCAATTCCAGGCAAGTTACTGAAATCTTGCCCTTTTAACTTCAGCCGTGAATTGTTATTCAAGATTGTTTGTCTGATTAGAGATTCATCAAGTGATAGGTTTTGGCGTGATTCATCAAGTGAACCTTGGACTTAATCTCAACCATGCGTGATCTCAAAAAAAGTTGCTCCAATCTGACCTAGCTAGCGATTGTGTTCCTTCCTTTATGCATGCAGTATTAACTTTTTGATTGGAGAGACTTGATTTGTGTTTTATGGAGGCAAATCGAATAGGAAAGTTCATACTCAAAGTTTGATTCTTTTCAGTTTGGCTTGAGACAAGTTGGATTGTTGTTTGCCTTCAAACTGAGTCTGCAGAGAAAATTTTGGAAGAGTTGATTTGGTCTTGTTGGTATTGTAGTGTCGTTACCGTTGCTTGTTGATTACATTTTGGACTGTTAATTGAAGGGTCTTGCTTGGCTGCATGAAAGGTGCAATTGAGTGTGTTAGTCAAGAATTAGTTCATGAAATCAGGGTGACTTGAGGAGGAAACGCAAGAGAAATGAAGCATTCTCAATTCTGTGAGGTCTCTAGTCATTAAGCTATTGCTCAAAGTTTGTCCTTGTGTTGCTTCTCATATTGTTATATTTTTTGGAGGGGGTTGCTAATTCGAATATCTTGCGATGGTTAGTTGTGTGGGATATATTTTGTCAACTGATCTGGTTGCTTGCTGATCTCCAAATCATTATGAAGTACATCGATAAAGATTGACCGATTAGCATAGATGTAGGAGACCTGAAATAGTCAAGAGATGATGCCCTTTCTTCTCTCTGTACAATGATCTTGTGTCTGAATATTCTGGATCTTGCTGTCCTCTCTTCTATAAAACAAAAGTATGTACTTGATCACCTTTTGTTTAAGCATGCAAGAAGCTGTTTGGTTTCCTATTTACTGCATTCGAATTAGGCAAGGCTACTGCAACAGCTACGTTTGCCATATCACTCGAAACATCCATTTGAGCGAAAATGGGACTAGGATTGGTAGCTACTGGTGTGGTATTTTAAATGCTGAAAAATGCAGATGCATCATTTCATAGGTGGATCGAGCTTTGGGAGGTTAGAATAGTAGCTTTGATGTACTGATAAGTGACTCCTCTAGTAGCTTTGAAGTACAGAAAAATCAGGGTGTTTTTAGTTTCACGGCTTGTTTTAACGGCCGTGATTTTTGAAGCTAAAGCCGTGAGATTGTCTGGAATATGAAAACTACTCTTTGCTTCTCACGGGTCATGTCACGACCGTGAGAATTTGCATTTTGGGTGAAATTTAATGGAAGCTGGGTGTTTTGGGTGAAATTTATATATGCCAATGGCGGATTTCATGGTTAATTAGTGTACTCAGGTGTTGATGTAGGGGGTTTTCAGTTCTTCTGGTAGTTAGAACTTGATATCGAGGCAAGTGTGCTTGTGAGCTCTGGTATAGTCTTGCATTTGTTCAATATTGATAAAAGCCATATATTGAAAACCAGGATTGAACTCATTACCTGGAGAATGTGTTTACCGAATGATTGAATGATCCTTTTCTCGAATGAAACTTTGTCATAACCACGTTTTCTCGAATGTGTTTAAGTGTGAAAACTGAAAGTTGCTTCTTTAGATCAGTGGTGGACGACTCTGGCTTTGTGTATTTTGTTAGTACTCTTCGGCATGCTTATAATTTGTGTTTCAAGGCATGCTTATAATTTTTTTGTTGTTTTAATTTTGCAGTTTGCTAAAAAAATTTTATAATGAAGACGAAGAGTCATGATATTTTTAGCACCCGCTGTTCTCCTAGGAAAGTATTCTCAGTAGTCTCAAATTTAGAGGCTTGTCAATCAGAGGCCATTAAGAGATGTGGCTTTGGTCGTATGCTTGAAGTCAAAGGAAGAATGCTCCAACGTGAGTTGTTGGAGATCCTTTTGAAGAGCTTTAATCTGGAAGAAAGCTCAATTCAGGCTTATGGGTTGAAAGTCCATATTTCGGCCAAAGATTTCGAGCGAATTATGGGCGTGCCTGAGGGAGGTACTGATATCATCTTGAATGGTGAAGAAGTGGGACGAAGATCCGAGGAATTGAATCCATTTAGAGTGTATTCGACAGTTGATTGTGCCCGACAGGCGATTTCGACAAGCTTAATGCGGAAGGCTTTGTCGGAGATGAAAGATAGCGGCGATCTATTTCTTCAAACGTTTATTTTGTACGTAATGGGGGTGCTATTAGTACCAACTAGAAGAGATGACTTTTCGTTATCTTCGGTATACGCTGTCCTCGATGTTGCCGATATTCCGAAGAAGAATTGGGAATCGTTTTGCTTCAATGAATTGGTCAAATGCATCTGCGACCATAATGCTGAGGGGAGAAAGTATATACCGGGTTGCTTGCTGTTCTTGGAGGTAAATAATTGCTAATCCCTACTTTCTACATATTTGTAATGATTAATCATCATTTTGATTATAGTATTTTTTTTTTTTGTAGTTAATATTCTTGGAGCATGCAAATGGTATTTTCGAAACCATTGATAGGAGTTTGGATTTGTTGAGCTGGGGGAGCGGAGACGTGGAGTTATTGTTAACAAAAGTGGTAAGACTGATAGTATATTTGATTCTTTTGACGAGTTGGAGCATGCTAATGGTACATTTGGTTCCCTTTTTAATTAATCTGTAGGTTTCCAGCAGTTCGGGTAAAAGATCCGCTGAGGACGCAGGTTTGAAATCACCTGAAAGGAAACGGGAAAAAAGAGATGGGAAACGGCAAAACCCCGACGGCAAAAACCCGACGGTGATGAGCCCGGGGAGTGTGACCAAGCGGGATTTGAACTTTTTCCTCTCTATGGTAAAAGATCCCCCAATTCATCTTGGTTTAGTCATACTGAAAACCCTACAGAAGATGACCTCCAACAAACAAATCAAGACCATCCATGGAGGTGCCTACATCACAAGGCTAGCTCTGCATTTTGGCATTGATCCGGTGGGTTCTCATTGCACCATTGCCCAGTCCACTCAACCAATCTCCCAAAAAAACCTTGCGGATCTATACTTGTTGTCAAAGGTAAATGTTCCAACCAACACTTTCCTTTTCACAGTGAATGCTAAAACAGAACTAGTCGGGATTCAAACAATCTAGGATTGATTTTGTGCAAGTTTTGGATTGTCTGCTGATCTAGTTCCTTTTGAACATTGAGCAAATGTAACTAATGCTTCTGATATTGATCATGTCTGTGTTTGGTGGTTAAGGAGAATGGTGTGTTAGGCATTGTTGGCCTCCCTCATCCTGCTCCACCTCTTGCAACAGATGAGGCAAACGCATCGGAGCATGTTGTTCAGCAAATGGTCGAGGAGTCTCCGCAACAACCTGCACAACATCACCAAACTACGACTCAAGCCGGACCATCCACCGACAGATACATTTCCCATTTTGAGGCATTGGGTCGGCAGAATGCCCAAATTCTCGAGCAAAATGCACTCATTCTCTCCCGCCTCGATCGAGAAAAGGAAGCTCGACGCTACATCATCAAATGCAACCATCACATCATGAGGTCCTTGAGGATTGACTACAAAAAATTCTCAACACCTTGGGAACTATCTCCAAGGCCAATCGAGGAAAGCAATGAACAGGGAAGTGAAGAGGACGACGAGGGCAACAGCGATGAACAAAATAAGGAAACAAATCAAGAGGACAAAGGGACCAATGAGGAAGAGGGCAGTGAAGAGGAAGACGAGGGCAATGGCGATGATCAAAACAAGGAAAGAAATCAAGAGGACAAAGGGACCAATGAGGAAAAGAGCAGTGAAGAGGACGACGACGAGGGCAATGACGATGATCAAAACAAGGAAAGAAATCAAGAGGACAAAGGGACCAATGAGGAAAAGGGCAGTGAAGAGGAGGACGACGAGGGCAATGGCGATGATCAAAACAAGGAAAGAAATCAAGAGGATAAAGGGACCAATGAGGAAAAGGGCAGTGAAGAGGAGGACGACGAGGGAAATGGCAATGAACAAAACAAGGAAAGAACTCAAGATGACAAAGGGACCAATGAGGAAGAGGGCAGTGACTCTAGCGAGGACAATGAACATGAGCAAATCCATCAAAACGAAGATGAGGACGAGAGCACTGACGAGGAAGATGGGCAGTGAAGATGAGCCAACAAAAGTCCTTACTACTTAGCTATGTGTGTTTGCGTTTGTGCTTGTATGTTTTCCAATTAGAATATGATGATGCACTAGTGTGGGCTACATGCAGCTAAACTTAAGCACTAATTAGACAGATTTAATCGTGTTATGGATGCTTGTTTTATTAGACAAATGTAATGCTTTGACTGCGTTTTACTTTTTGTTAATAGGGTATCTCATCTGATATGATGTACAGTTACTAGAGAACATTGTGAATGGATCTATGTAATGCTCGTGTCAATGCTCGTGTCAAGGTTTAGAGAACATTATGAATCATCTTTTTCATAAGTTTGAAGTTCTGGAAAAAAGTCCATTCTGTTTGAAACACCATTATAATAAGTACACGGGATAGTTCAACAGGTGAAGGTCTCCTACTGGAAATCTGACACCTTATACTGGTAATCTCACGACCGTAAAATACTCAAGTGAGATGTAAAAAGCAGTGCTTCATTCCTCAGGCAAATATGGTACAACCCAAACTTGTACCATATACTGGTAATCTGACACCTTGTACCTACACTTTCTAATAAATCCCTTTATGGTACAACCCAAACTTGTACCTATACTAATGGTACAACTTTAATTTGTACCTACACTTTCTAAAAATCCTTCTATGGTACAACCCGAACTTGTACCTATACCATGGTACAACTTTAAGTTGTACCTACACTTTCTAATAAATCCTTCTATGGTACAACCCAAACTTGTACCTATACTAATGGTACAACTTTAATTTGTACCTACACTTTCTAAAAATCCTTCTATGGTACAACCCAAACTTGTACCTATACTATGGTACAACTTTAAGTTGTACCTACACTTTCTAATAAATCCCTTTATGGTACAACCCAAAATTGTACCTATACTAATGGTACAACCTTAAGTTGTACCTACACTTTCTCCAAATCCAGCTATGGTACAACCCAAACTTGTACCTATACCATGGTACAACTTTAAGTTGTACCTACACTTTCTAACAAATCCCTTTATGGTATAACTAAAAATTGTACCTATACTAATGGTACAACCTTAAGTTGTACCTACACTTTCTCAAATTCTTTTATGGTACAACCCAAACTTGTACCTATACCATGGTAAAACTTTAAGTTGTACCTACACTTTCTAACAAATCCCTTTATGGTACAACTAAAAATTGTACCTATACTAATGGTACAACCTTAAGTTGTACCTACACTTTCTCAAAATTCTTTTATGGTACAACCCAAACTTGTACCTATACCATGGTACAACTTTAAGTTGTACCTACACTTTCTAACAAATCCCTTTATGGTATAACTAAAAATTGTACCTATACTAATGGTACAACCTTAAGTTGTACCTACGCTTTCTCAAAATTCTTTTATGGTACAACCCAAACTTGTACCTATACCATGGTACAACTTTAAGTTGTACCTACACTTTCTAACAAATCCTTTTATGGTACAACTAAAAATTGTACCTATACTAATGGTACAACTTTAAATTGTACCTACACTTTCTAATAAATCTCTTTAGGGTACAACTCAAATTTGTACCTATACTAATGGTACAACCTTAAGTTGTACCTACACTTTCTCAAAATCCTTCTATGGTACAACCTAAACTTGTACCTATACTATGGTACAACTTTAAGTTGTACCTACACTTCCTAAAAATCCTTCTATGGTACAACCCAAACTTGTACCTATACCATGGTACAACTTTAAGTTGTACCTACACTTTCTAACAAATCCCTTTATGGTAAAACTCAAAATTGTACCTATACTAATGGTACAACCATAAGTTGTACCTACACTTTCTTAAAATTCTTTTATGGTACAACCCGAACTTGTACCTATACCATGGTACAACTTTAAGTTGTACCTACACTTTCTAACAAATCCCTTTATGGTACAACTAAAAATTGTACCTATACTAATGGTACAACTTTAAGTTGTACCTACACTTTGTGAAACAAATTCTTCAATGGTACAGCTGAAACTTGTACCTATACTATATGGTACAACTCTAATTTGTACCTACACTTGTATACATTGATTCATTATTTACAAGATTGCCATTAATGATGTGGGACCAGTCATTTAGTGGGTTACCTCCTCAACAGGTCACCTTTTTTTTTTGTTTTTTATAGCATGGGTGCTATAGAGCACACTAGAAGGGCTCCTCTGTTACCCGTTTTAGATATGCTCTCCTTCAATTTCTAGGGTTCTTGTAGATGTGCTCTAGATTAATTAGTTTATGCATTTATGGACCCGGTCGGCCATTGTGTAATGTCGATGTCATGGAGAATATGATTACTGTGAGTTGAACATGTTAGTCTCAAAGAAGCGGGATGATCCTTTGATTTCGTGGTAAGGTGGCGTAATGCCTATTAGATGTTTGATGAAATGTGCCTGAGAAAAGCACCCCCGCCGCACGTACTTGGGTGGTGGCGGTGGGACTTTTTTGAAAAACGAATCCCTTGCCGATGTTCCCCCACTCTTGGGCATGGGAAGTAGCGGAGATTGTTAGGACGAATACTTGCCCTTGAACATGGGCGTATTGTGTGAATGTGCTTGCGTGGGATTAATGATAAGAACTCGATTAGCATTTGTGTTGCTTAGTAGTCGGAGTAGGGGGCCGGCGGCCTAACAAGAAGAGTAGGGTTAGGATTTGGATTCCTGCAGTAACGTTGCTAGATCTTTCTGTGGAATGTAAGTAAAATCAGTTTCGTCATATTTTCTCCTTAATCCGACTTATCAAGTACAACCTCTAATATTGTTTTACAATCCTCCTCGATTATTACTTTTACTTGATAACGGACTGAAAAACTACTACTGGTGTAGGGGGTTTCTCTCCTTCCGTTGCGCTCAGTTACAGTCTTATAGATCAACTAATTAGTTGATGGGTTTTGGTTCATTCGCAAGAAAATAAGGCATCATCCCATTCCCATTATACGAATTACGATATATCCTATCTACTATGCGTGGCAAATGCAGATCTCGACTTTCACCAATCGGCTGGAATTCAGACTTTTCGTTCCTTAATCAGGTCAGTTCAGCTCACGAATAAAATCTCACAAACAGCCAAAAACGAAAAGGACCAAATTTCAGACCTGCAAGCAATTGATTAAAATCTTCTGACACACGCTATGCTGGCTGGGAGACGAAGACCAAATTAACCCTACCCGTCACCTGTCTTGTACTCTTTGTTCGCTTTTAACCCCCTTCCCGGGGGATTTCTCCGCCTTTATTATAATCGAAAGGAGCCGGTGAACGAGAGCAAGTAAAAATTTGGTTCTGCCATCTTCAATATTGTTAGAGAGAGAGAGAGAGAGAGAGAGAGAGAGAGAGAGAGAGAGAGGCCATTTTTGTTCATTTTGCAGCAATCGAGATCAACAATGGTGTCCTGGGCGTGGGTTTGGACGGGGACTCTGATTGATCTTCTGAAGGTGGCTGCCTACAGTGCCGCGTTCTTGCTCGCTCGCGAAGGCCACCGCCGCTATTCCTTTGCCTATGGGCTCTTCCTCAACATTGTAAATCTCTCTCTCTCTCTCTCTCTCTCTCTCTCTCTCTCTCTCTCTCTTTGAGTCTTCTTTGTTTGGTTTACCAATTTTTGTGATGTTTCTCGTCTGTATTTTTTTTCCCCCAGGTCGGAGTGATCTGCGCCCAAGCGATCAGTCACTACTTGCAGCGACTCAAAAGGAATTGGCAGGGACTTCGTCAGCCCCTGCCGGCGAGACGCTACTACCCAGCAGGACACCAATTACTGACTAGCTAGCTAGTCGTTTCTCACCGTCTGCTTCGTTGTAGCTAGTAGCGAGAAAGCTTAATGAAGATTAATTAGTAGCAGTAGTTTGTGTTGACTGTTGTTAAGAAAACTCCGACTCGTTCTCCGTTTTTAGATCCCTCCTTCTTTGGTTGTTAATGGTAACCTCTTGGGTTCTTTGCTAAGGGGGTTTCATCCACGAGCTCAGTAATGTAATGGCTGCCGCCTGCCTAGCTAGCTTGTTGTCTTTGTTATGTGGGTTTATCATCTATGATCTATCAGTTTAACGACCTTCTCTAATTATATTCGTTGTTGAAATGGTTCTGCGAAAGTATACAAATGACAATGGCTCTGAGAAAGAATAGTCTATTTCTATTCGGCTTTTACTAGACTTGGGCTAAGGTCTTCAGGCGTCTGGCCCACATAATTGGGCTTTACCTCTATAATCAGTAGACGCACTTGCTCACTCCGCTTTCATCTTCATGGAACCTTTCCCCCGAACTTGTAACCACCGTTAGGGTTTGATCTCTTTCTACCTTTTCCCTTCTTGAAGTTTGCAACCGATAGAGGCTTTGCTTACAATTGAATTAGAAGAAACAGAAATGGTTGGTTAATTGCAAGTTTGGTCACTGTGTTAAAAAAAATGTTCATGTTTGGTCATTAAAATATTTAATTCCATTCGCAATCATTAAAATATGTTCAATAGTTCGAGTTTGATCACTCTCCGTCCAACTCCGTTAACTTAAACTGATGTGACGGTCAATTCTCATAATTGACCGTTAAATGAGTGACTTGACAATAAAAATAATATAATATTATTAATATTTTCACATCATCTTTCCCCATGAATTAAATAAGTAAAATATAATTAATAATCATAATACCAAAATTGAGATTTTCCCTATCGGATAAATTCCTGGCCACCCGTCCATGAACCTCCTCCCTCAGAAACACTCACCAGGCGCAATACCTCCTTAAAACCAAAACTCCCTCAAGAACCCCGTCGGAACTCTCATATATGCACTAATTCATCACCCTCTACCAAAACGAAAATCCCCCGGAACCCATCCCTCCCCCTCCTCTCTTCCAATTTCCACAACCATGATCAGGAGAGCGGCGAGGCGGACGCCGGCACCCATGATGATGACGTTGAATTGCCAGGGCCAACCCAGAGGGTGTGCTAACACTAGGGATGACAAAAATATCTGTAACCGTGGATATCCGTCCGAATTCGACCTAACTGGGTAGGGTAAAACCCGAACCCGAATTACTTTTAGTGGGTACGGGTAAAACCCGAACCCGAATATTGCGGGTAATGTATGGACATGATTTTCTCACTATCCAACCCGAACCCGCCCGATTACACATAAGCATATGTATTTTGTCTAATAATCAATATTTTTCTCTAACATATTTTATATTTAGCATATAAATATAATATTTTTATGAACGGGTATGGGCATAGTTTTGATTTTCTACCCGAATCTTATATGGCTATGGGCATGGGTAAAACCCGAACTACTTTGGGTAGGGTAACCGATATACACTACCCTTCCCCAACACGACCCATTGCCATCCCTAGCTGGCAATCCCTTTGGCACAGGGCCTCCAAATTTTGGAAGCCTCTGTAGCTCCATCACGTATATGACTGATTATATTTAAGGATTATTGAATCTCGATTATGAATTTTAAATAATAGAAAATTTATGAATTGTGTTTAGATTATGGGTCTAAAACAATAATATTACAAAATTTAAGATTGAAGGCTAAAAGAACGAACATATCACATGAGGGAAAACTTGCTTTCTAAATTATTAAAAAATTTTCAAACCATATAACATAACTCATTTTTTCGTGTGTTTCCTAAATATAAAAAAGATGTAAGTTTGGTGATTCTTTATTATTAGCATTATTAAATTTTTTGTTTTAGGTTTCTTCATTTCCAAATTTCCACGGAGAAAAATAATTCTTGTTGTTAATTAATCTGTTTGTACTAGCAAGGCAGTAAGGTTAAATTAATTAAATAATTCAAATTAATTTATTAAACGTTAACCGGAATTATTAGGTACAAACCAAATAGTAGAAAAGGAAAAATAAACAAATTAGTTATAAATAGTTTGTACCATACTTAATTTTAGACTAAAAATGATCACTTTCTACTATCTAATTTAGTTTATTATTATAATTCAACGAAAAAAAATTTAGTTTATTATATTATTTTTCATACTTTTGATTGAAACGGACTTGCTGCTCTGAATTTTGGTGCGGTGGATTTTCACGGCGGGTTAGGGAGAAGATAAGAGAGGAGACGGCAGTGGTGGAGCGGTGGAAGCGGAAGTGGCCGGGAAGTGGGTGGATTGTTGGGGAGGTTTCGCTGCTGGAGTTTGAGAGAAGAGAGGCATGGGAGTCACCATTTTTTGTGGCGTATGTCACAAGAGGCGAAAGGTTTACGAGTATGAAAAAGGTTGATCCATTAAAATGGAATGAAGAAGCTGGAAGGTTTGATTATAATAAGGTCGGGGAAATGGAAGAAGTAGACAGAGTTTGACTTTGTATTTGTCATTACCCGAATTTGTCTTTTTGAAATTGGGAAAACCAATGGGAAAAAGAGAAAATGGATAGTGAATGAATTAGCGTGTAGGGTTGGGGTCTTGGAGGAATGAGATATAGTGAATTAGAGTTCTAGTGGGTTTCTGAGTTTTTTTTAGTTTTGTGAAGTAAAGGAATTGTGGTCGGCGAGTGTTTCTGAGGGAGGAAGAGGTTCCGAGAGGGGTTCTCCGGTGAGGAATGGTAAAATAACAAATAATAATTATTATTTATGTTTTATTTATTTTAGTTTATTATGAAAAATTATATGGAAATAGTAAAAAAAATTTAATTTTTAATTTATTTATTTTTAATTGGCCCGGCACTCATTTAACTGTCAATCACAAGAGTTGACTTCCACATCAGCAAAAGTTAACGGACTTAGACGGAGAGTAACCAAACTCGAACTATTAAACTAAATTTAGTGATACGAATGGAATTAAATATTTTTGGTGACTAAATATGAACTTTTTTGTAAACTTAGTTTCATTCATCAAAAAGGAAACTTGATTTCTACCAAAAAAAAAAAAGAAACTTGAGCTATAAGTAATGGACTTGCTCCAATGATAAAGTACAATAGCGGTGGCTGAATGTTCAAGTGCAAATAGTACAAACAAATTTCAAGGTGGCTCTGGTGGATTTTGGCTTGTGCCATAGAACATCAAAATGTAGGCACAGAAGTTCTTGTTTAGATAGTTTATTGTTGCTATCCAAGCATGAGCAAATAGGGTAGTTTATTTTGTTGGAGAGATTGGTGCTGCTTATGTAGTAGTAAAAAAAAATGTCATGTAAGTTAATTGACTAGCATCATTGGTGGAGTTTCCATTGCAACTACATATTTCTAGTTGGGGAGTTGATCGATCAATGGTTAGAGAGAACACAAGCATCCTAAATCCTAGAATTGGAAGTTTGATATCGGTATTTGGGATATATCATACACCATATCGAATTTGTCGTTGTTATTTAGTACTCAGAATTATGAGATCGAGATCGGTATATATCAATGATCAAAATACTGAGAAACAACAAAAATTTAAAATTATTTAAATATAACACATGTACTTTGTTTGTTCCTCACTCTTGAATAACTCACAAGCTCCCATCCAACCCAACTTTGACTTTCCAATTTAAGTCAGTCTCATCGCTCACTCGATCTCTTGTTGTTTTCATGACACCAAAAAGCACACTCTCATTAGCCGTCTCTCAACCTCTAACCCATCGAATTAAAGTTTTTCAATCTGACCAAATTAATCCATTTGGCAGTACAAAATTTAGATGAAACAATTCCATCTGAGAATTTTTCAAATTGACTCGTTGTGTGACAATTAAAATTGTATGGGGTAGATATAGACAATTCAAAGTGACTCGCTTTAAATGACTCATTTTTTAAAAGGAGACAATTATGAAAATTGTCTCTGTTTTTCAATTGATCCAACCAAATGAGCCCTTTCTTATTTGGTGACTTTATTGACTTTATTGTCTCTATATCTATTATTATTATTTAATTTTAATAAAAATGAAGGTCATCATTAGAAAAGAAATTACAAAATATATCGGCAAGCCTTTTCACAAAGGATGCTAAAGGCTTACGAAATGCATTCAAAATACATCTGTCCAAACACACTCTTAGAGTTCATGGAAACACCGTTGTTTGTTGAGGCTAATGCGAGTGATTGCGCAGTACATCATTATTATATGTGTTTGTTACATCGTATTGTGCCGGTTGTCAAACATAAAAAAAAATAGTCTATATGGAGCTCTTATAAATGTAGGATTTTATCGTTATATGAAACCGTTGAATCAAAATTTAAATACAAAATACTCTAATACTGACTCATCCTCTACAACCTTCTATATGATTTTACAATTTCTTATTATTAATTGAGAACGGAGTGAAAAACAACTGCTCTATATTACTTGAGAACGGACTGAAAAACAACTGGCCTAGGGTTTTTCTTCAGTTGCGCTTGGTTAGAGATCAACTAATCAGCTGATGGGTTCTGGTTCATTCGCAAGGAAATAATGCATCATCGGCACGGGGGAATAAAAACAATTTGGGTATCATTATACTATACATGGCAAATGGACTCTCGACTTTCCCCAATCGGCTGGAATTCAGAGTTTTCGTTCCTTATTCAGGTCAGTTCAGCTCAGGTATTAAATCTCACAAACAGCCAAAAAACCAAAAGGACCAAATTTCAGACCTGCATGGCAATTGATTAAAAACTTCTGACGCACGCGCTGCGCTGGCTGGGAGATAAAGACCAAATTAACCCTGCCCGCCACCTGTCTGTTTTAACTCTTTCCGGGGGATTTCTTCCCCTTTAAAATCGAAAGCAGCCTCCAAGGGGAGAGACTAGACTAGAGACAGAGAGCGAGCCCTTTTTTGCTTTCATTTTGCAGCGAGCGAGATCAACAATGGTGTTCTGGACTTGGGTTTGGAAGGGGTTTCTGATCGATCTCCTGGAGGTGGCTGCCTACGGCGGCGCGTTCTGGCTCGCTCGCGAAGGCTACCGCCGCTATTCCTTTCCCTATGGCCACCTCCTCAACCTTGTAATTAAGTCTCCCCACCCCCTCTCTCTCTCTCTCTGTTTTCTTTCTTCGGTCCACCAATCTTTATATGACCTTTCTCGTCTGCATTTTTCTTCTTCTTCAGATCGGAGTGATATTTGCCCGAGCGACCTTTCACTGCTTGCAGCGACTCAAAAGGAAGTGGCAAGACGGCCCTCGTCAGCCCCTGCCGGCGGCGAAAGACGCTACTGCCCAGCCGGCTACCAAGTACTGACCAGCTAGCTAGATAGAAGTTTCCCCCACCGGCGCCTTCGTTGTGGTAGCGAGAAAGCTTAATCAAAATTAGTAGAAGTAGCTTGTGTTGACTGTTGAGTGTTGTTAAGAAAACTCCGACTCCGATCTCGGTTTTTAGATTCCCTCCTTCGCTGGCTATTAATGTTTACCCTTTAGGGTTCTTTGTTGATGGGGTTTCATCCATGAACTCAGTAATGTAATGGCTGCCTGGCTAGCTAGATTGTCCTGTTTGTTATGTGGCTTATGGTCATCTATCAGTTTAACGATTCTGATCTCTAGTTATGTTGATGAAATGGGGCTGGGATCAGGTGACTAAGAGGGGTTCCCAGTCCCCTTAGTCACATGATTAAATGAATCTCAGCCATTCAACCTCATTAAAATCCGAGAGCTCTTATTAGTCTAATTTAATGAAGCGTAATGTAGTAATTCTATGTTTATTTTTAATTTTTAATTATAAAAAAAATATGCTTCGTCCCTTATCTGTGTGTCGCCTCCCCGCGCCGCGCCATTATCCCATTCCCCCTGCGCCTCCATTCCAGAGAGAGAGAGAGAGATTTTGTACTATTAGTATGCTTTGTATTGTTTGTCGATTTATTTTGTAATGTTTGTACGCTTTGTTATTTTGTAATGTTTGTCGGTTTTTTTTGTAATGTTTGTACGCTTTGTTATTTTGTAATGTTTGTCGGTTTTTTTGTAATGTTTGTAAACTTTGTTATTTTTGTGTATCGTGTTTATCATTTTTGTCAACCATGTTTGTAATGTTTTTTATGTCTAAAAAACACCCCGGTTGACTTTGGGAAGGAGCCCCTCTATATAGGGATGGAGCCTCCAAAGTCAACCCGGGTGTTTTTTCAGTTCGCATGGATTGTCGGTATAGTTTGTCATTTTTGTCCACCATGTTCGTACTGTTTGTATGTCTAAAAAACACCCGGGTTGACTTTGGGAAGGAGCCCCTCTATATAGGGATGGAGCCTCCAAAGTCAACCCGGGTGTTTTTTCAGTTCGTATGGATTGTCGGTATAGTTTGTCATTTTTGTCCACCATGTTCGTACTGTTTGTATGTCTAAAAAACACCCGGGTTGACTTTGGGAAGGAGCCCCTCTATATAGGGATGGAGCCTCCAAAGTCAACCCGGTTGTTTTTTCTTTTTGTATGGTTTGTATTGTTTGTCGGTCTAGTTTGTATTGTTTGTACAGTTCATACGTTTGTAATGTTTGTAAATCTGTTTGTATGTTTTGTACTGATTCTAAGTGCGGTTTATATACTTCGTAATTTTCCATAATACCCAAACTATCCATGTCATTAATTAAATAGCCATTCCCACTTTTTAACCATCAGATTGATGTGTCCAGATCTAAGGGCTGGAAGAAGCTTAGTCAAGTGACTAAGCACCCCCTAGTCACCGGATCTGCTCTCTATGAAATGGCTCTGAAAAAGTTGTCCCACGGGCCACGACAATGGCCCTGGATCCGCCTTATATACCTAGGCCACCGAAAAATGCTGAAGACGAAGGTCTATTTCTGTTGGGCTTTCACTGGGCCTGGGTTAAAGGTGTTCAAGGTGTGGGCCAATATATTCGGGTTTTGTCCAGAATCTTACTCTCCTTAGTCCCTAATAGTCTCAACCAGGAATAGAGATTCTAACACTAATATAAAGAGATTATTCATGAAAATATAATTAATTCTAAATTTTGAGCTGAGTGAATCCTAAAATTTAGGATGAACAGTTTTTATCGTTTTAGTTAATACATAACCTAATCGAAGACTTTGTTAATTATGCCAATGGAAAAGAAGAATTCGTTGGAAAATTTTATAAAACCAATTATTCTATTATTAGTTTATTCTTTTATTATAATTTTTTATGAATATTATTATAATTTTGTGCGTGCTATGTGGTTTATTTTTTTATTTATTTTTTTTAATATAGGATTAAGTGTTTGAGACAAATTGTTAGATGTGTGACTTTACTAATTAACTAATTCTTAATTACTTAACTAACAAATAAAATACTTTTCAATTATAACTTTGGATTTGAGGTATTTCATAAAGCATATACAAAATAAAATTTTCATTCAACTCGTTAATGTGAATTGATAAAGGTGAGAAGGTTTATGAATTTATTACTCAATTCTTCTTTTCGGTATTGATTTTCTCTTAGAGTGATGAAATGTAGATCACAATCTCCATCTAGAGACTAGAAGTTCAAAGTTTTAAATCAGTAGCTATGTAATTTCTTTCTTAGGTTCCTTTTTCGGGAAACGATAAAAAAATATGAAATCATACCACCTAGATCTAGATTTGTGATGTTTAGTTTTCTTTTACCAAAACAGGAATCGGAAAACTCTGTTAGCTTTCTTTTTTCATAACTTTGCTTGGTTTTGATCAAATATTAGTGAGATAGTGCGATGATGATTCTTATCAAAACTTGCTTTGAGAGTAACATATTGTTTCATTATGTTTTAACTCCTTCAATATTATTTTGAGTTATTAAGTAAATTCATACTATTATTAAGTACTATAATTATTGATTGGCAAAATACACTTGTGTAGCCAAATCTTTCACGTGTGTGCCACTTATAGCCACTTTTGGCGAAATACAACTTATAGCAACTTTTTAAAGATGTTGCGTGCCAGATATAGCCATTCACGTTAGATACTTTAACGGTGTCACTAACGCCGTCAACTTCTTTGACGGTTTGTTGACTAGGCGCCAACTCAGCGCACAAGTCAACGCCAAGTAAGTCAAAAGTGACACGTCACAATTAAAATTTATTTAATAATTACATGTCATATTAATAAAAAATTAATTTAATTCTCCCCAATTTCTTCTATCTCCCTGAACCCACGTCATTTTTAATTAAAATAAAGTTTTATATAAAAACAAAATAAAACAAACGATCTTCTTCCTCACCTCATCCCCAATTCCATCTACAGCTCCTTCACCACCCAAAACCTTTCGCATCCTCCCACAACTCCATAAGTTCATCGTCGTTTCCCTCTCCCTCTCCTCCCTCGCCGCCGTTGTCATCATCGTCTCCACCGTTCTTGCTTGCTACTTTTGCAGCCGCCGCGGAGCGCCAACGAGCCCCGAATTTACTCTGTGAATCCTGATCGGGGCTCCGGATCCAGTCACAAGCTCCACCCGACGAATACCAGCTTCGAGTATTTTTTTTATCTCAGGACGCTTGTGAATCCCCATGGGATTGGGGATGGTGGAGGGTCCAATCTTGTTGCTGCAGTTGAGTCTTCGATGTTGGGGAAGATGGAGTCGTCGAAGCTTTGGGGTTGCCCAAGCACAAATCTTTGCTTCCTCCTCCACTTGAAATCGCCAGTGAAAAGAGGCTTTCCTTAGTCTCTCCCTCGATCAGAAGATGAAAAGTGACAGCCCCCCCTTCTTCTTTGTCTTCTTCTGTGACCAAGGTCACAATTTCAATTAGGGATTAATTAGGGACAACGATTAGATATTAGTTAGTGTATTGTGGATATTTGTCATTCTTAGTTGTAATATATTTTATTGATCACAAGATTTTTCTTTGAAATATTGGAATATTTTTCTGGGTTGTGGTGATATTTATTTGAACCTGAAGAAAAATTTCTTCAATTCATGTGTTCGGATATTTGTGTGGAACATTTGAATATTCTCGGTTTGGGCAAAAACGAATAGTTTTTATTTTTTAGAGTTTAGTGATTAGGGTTTTAGAGTTTAGGGTTTAGTTTTGTTTGTTTAATGTTCACGGTTTAGGGTACAACTATTAGATATTAGTTTTGCAATGAATGAATATTAGAAGGGTGTCTATGTGGACGTGTATGACAAGGTTTGTGGCTTTCACATGGATTGGTTTGTGGCGATGTTCCTTGATGTCCTTGTTGAGTTGTTTTTCATTTCCAATTCAGAGTCTGATGATGAAGATAACACCGGTGAAACTGTATCCATGTTGTGGGGGAGTCTTATCCTTATTTATTTATTTACTTACTAGTATCCTCGTTGAAATGAACTATTATTCTGTGTTCACTATCCATCCTTCACCAACCCAGTATCCATGTCTTTATTAAACTATGCAGATATTAGTTTAGGATGATCGAATATTTGGTTGTGTTATATCCAGACTCACTTAAGTAACATTATACCTCACATAACTAATATGAGAGCATAATATCCAGACAACGCAGATTAATATCCATACATTTCATACTAATATCTAGACCTAACATAATAATATTCCAGAATAACAAACTCAAATCCATAATAAAAAAGAGTTGTTTTATCGACGAACTGCGATAAAACTAATATTCAATGCCATTACAACTTGGTATCCCAAACATGTTAAATAATATCTTAGGTCAACAAACTACCATATTAACGAGCAAAACTCAGAACCCCCAAAACAATATCCATATTCAACAAAATGGTATCCCAGGCATGCTAGATAATATCCCTAATCGACAAACTACCTTATTAACGAGCATAACTCAGAACCCCCCAAACAATATCCACATTCAACAAACTGATATCCCAAGCATGCTAAATAATATCACATGTCAACAAACTACTATATTAACGAGCAAAACTAAGAACCCCCCAAACAATATCCACATTCAACGAACTGGTATCCCAATCATGCTAAATAATATCTTAGGTCAACAAACTACTATATTAACGAGCAAAACTCAGAACTCCCCAAACAATATCCACATTCAACGAACTGGTATCCCAAGCATGCTAATAATATCTCAAGTCAACAAACTAACATATTAACGAGTAAAACTCAGAACCCCCAAATCGAATCCCAAGGCATAGAAAGCGAATCTCAAATCCCCCGACAAGAATCCCAGATCCCTAACAACGAATCTCAAATCCAAAAAATGAAGCAAAAAAAGAAAAAAACTCAAATCTAGTTGAATCCATGAACCCGTAAATCAAATAACAAGAATCTCGAATCTCTCAAATCGAATTCAGATCCCAGCCATAGAAAATCTCATATCCCCAAATCAAACGAAATCCAAATCCCCCAAATCGAATCCCAAGACACAGAAAGCGAATCCCAACAACGAATCTCATATCCAAAAATTGAAGCAAAAAAAAAAAAAAAACTCAGATCTAGTCGAATCCATGAAACCCTAAATCAAATATAAAGAATCTCAAATCTCCCAAATCGAATCCCAGATGTTTCAGGTTGTTTTCTGATGTTTCAGGTTGCGAATATATGATTATGATATAAGAACTCTGTGACTACCATCCATTTTCCCTAGGTATGACTACCGAGACTGTTGATTGAATTAGTAGTTTGAATGGTTCAGCCATGGATGTAAGCTAGCATGGTTCCTTTTGGGTGACAATACAAAAGTCTGAAAGGTTTACAAAAATTGTGCAAACCCACGAGAGTAACATAACAGTAGGGCATAAAAGGAAATAAATATGTTCTTGTT